ATTAAAGTAAATAAAGTTTAATATTTTTAATTAATTTAATAGCACCAAACATTTAAAAGAATGTCTGCTTTTAATAAGGCCATAGATCCTAGTCCATGGTACTCAGCATTAAAATAAAATGGTTATCCTCTATATCATCATTTACAGACAGAGAAAAGGCAATATTTCTGGTAGTGAGGTCAGCAGCTAGAGTTTTATCCCAGTTTTAGCTATGAATCCACTGGGTGGTCTTAGGCAAATTATACTCTCAGAATCCTGATGTGTATAACAAAACAATAATGGCTTACCATCTAGGAACGTTCATTCCCTCCCCCAAAATACTAGAACTTGAAGGCATCCAAGGAAGCTGACAGGCAGTAGGTTCAGGACTGACAAAAGGAAATACTACTTTACACACAGAGTGATTAAAAAGTCGAATTAACTGCCAGAGGATGTAGTGATGGCCACAGGAATGAACCGCTTCAAAGGGGGATAAGATAGATTCATGGAGGATAAGGCAAGCAGTTGCTATTGGCCATGGTGATTAAGGGGAACCTCCACATTCAGAAGTATTAAACCTCTGAATCCCAGAACCTGGCAGCAACATCAGGGGAAGGCCTTGGCCTCTCTGCCCTGTTGTTGACTATCCAGAGGAACTGGCTGGCCACTCTGTGAGATAGAATGCTGGACTAGATGAACCATTGGTCTGATCCAGCAATGCTCTTCTTATGTTCTTAATATGCAAGATGAAATATTCTCCTTTGTATAAAAGCTCAGAGAGTAACTAGCACTGGAAAAATGACACAATGCAAAAAGGAATGTGTTCGTTATATTTGTATTAACAGTTGCAAAAGACATTGAATTGTCTCCTGCCATTCCTTTTATTTTTACTTCTTGCGGCTCCAGCTCTAATAGTAGATGTCACTGTAATATTTATTTTATAAAATGAAAACAGATTTGGTTTCTACCACTGTATTTAATGGTTATCGCTTAATATGCAAATATTATTTCATTATATGTAGAGAAACATTTCATTGAGTCCAAGTTAGCCATGTAAAACTAGTAAGAAAGCAGAAGGCCAGCAAACAAATGTGGCAATGAGTGCACTGTGCGTACAACAATCCCAGAGTGGTTCAGCCAGGGCATCTTTGCCAAGAAAAGCTGCCTTACGACACACATACATTCAGTGAGAGGCCATAAAACTCTAATCCAGACTTTACCCATATGCCAGTCTGCCAGTGAAGCCTACTGCTGCTGCCAGAAGTGCTTGCTGCCAAAAAAAAGTTACAGCATAATATTCATTTATACTTAGCATCCAGTAATGGCAAGAATGTCTAAATACTGAGTCTTCCTTTGCTGCTTAGGTTTCATGTGGGATCTTCCTGAGCTAACTAAATGTGATCTGCCGTGCATTAAAGTTAACAGTTCATTTACAATGAAGGACAGTAATTGACAGACAAACAAATTATCTAAAGGAGAAGATAGTACAGTTGCAGCTTCTTTAAGGTAGCTTCAGACAGGTAGCTGTGTTGGTCCACAGTAGAAGAACAAAATTTGAGTCCAATAGCACCTTAATAGCACCCATGGTCCCCAACAAAGTTTCCTTGCTCCAGCAGAGTTAGCGGGCCCTACTTCATGCATTATTTTATTTATTGGTGTGCAAAGGAAAACCTTTATGGAGTGCAAGGCTGCACAAAGAACTTTTATGGAAGTACAGCAGGACAAGGGTGGATATTTTTCCAGTAGCGTCTTACAGACCAACAAACTATAATCTTACAACAGTCAAAGCTTTCTTCATCAAATACCTTATACCCTGGGAAAATGTTGTTGGTATTTAAGGTTCTACTTGACTGCAATTTCCCCCCATTAAGGATATGCTAACATCTTTCTGAACTATTATAGTGTTATCAGTGGACTTTGCTTAAGAAAATGTGATGATCATTCCCCCCCCCCCTTGTGAAGCGCAGAGATAGGCAGGCAGGATATACTGGGCCAAACTACACGGATTTTACCTGTGGCTGCCAATACTATATTGTTGAAAATTTTGACCATTTTGAGATGCTGCATGGGACCAATTCAGATTAGACCCATGGCTCAAGGGATTTTGCTCCCCCCTCACTTTTTCAAGTACTGAAACAACTGTTGAGGGGGCAAGGTGATATGGTGGGGAAACTGGAGCACTAATAGCAGTGGAGGAGAGGGGTGGTATTTGCTGGGTCATAGAGATGCCCCTCTGTCTCCATCCCTGGCTTCTCCCTCGTCACCCAGCAAGCACAGCCTCCTATCACTACTACTGCTGGGGCTCCTGCCTTCCCCTGTTCTACCTACACCCTGCACCATTTTCAAGCCTCCGCAGCTGGGGAAGAGCACCTGTATCTCCAGCTGGCTGGGGCACCTTCAGGTAGGCTTTCAGAATCTCCATGGCATTTTTGAAAGAAGGAAATCCAAGTCTTAAAAATGGCAGCAGTATCCCCATGGCAGACAGAGGGATGCCATCGCAGCTAGTTGAGCTCTTAATTAAGCATGTATCCAGGATTAAGTACAAATTGCAACAGCTGTTCCTGAGATAGGAGGCATGTTCTAGGAAAATGGCTGGCATCGACACATATGTCTTCTCGCTCCAGCAGAGTTAGCTGGCCCTACTTCATGTGTTATTTTTTTTTATTGGTGTGCAGTTTTTTTTATTGGCCTTTTTGTAGGACACCACTACGCTGCAAAAAGAACATTTAGGGATGTAGAGCAGGAGAAGGGCAAATATTGTTTCCTACTGTAAGGGCCTTGAAACTGGATGGCACAGGTTTGCAATGGCTAAGTGATTTTAAGAGGTAGGGTGGAGCTGTCCAGCTCTACTTTCTTTGTTTCATATAGGATGCCATAGTTGCAACTACACAGCAGTCCGGATCTGTACACCTAAATCAAAACTGTACACTTGTGGCATATAGAAAAGCCCTTCCGAGTGTCTGATCTATAGTTGGAACTGTCATGCCTAAATAGCCTGCCAAACATCTACTCAAAGCATTTCCTGGAAGTATAGTAAGCTTTCTATTTGTATATGTCTTTGGGGAATTTATTCCCTTTAGGATTTTAATCTTACTTTGCTTCTGTTGGCTTTCTCTTAGTATGCAATCCAATATAATCTTTTAGAGTTTGTTTTTAATAATATTTTCTTTAGAACATTTAGTTACTTTTTAAAAATTGTGTCACATAGAAGAAACTGAGCTTTCCATCATAGATATTTCCAACAGTTTTCAGCACCAGTGGCAATAGTTTAAAGGCTATTCTGGGTGGCTGTTTTTTTTGTTTTTTTAATCTTCCCATTTGTACCCATGGTCCCCAAACAGATGGTTAACTTTGATTCAAATCATTTTTATTGTCTGCTTATAAGATATAACTCTCATAATTGGACTTTGCCGCCAGCAAGACAATCTCAGGCATGCAGATGACTCATCCTTCAGCAAAAGTCATAAAGAGGCTGCTGAAGGGCTCGTCTGCTGGAAGTTGATGCAGGTTTCTATTTAAACCATCAGCTGAAGTGTGAATTTATCTGTGACATTTTTAAGATGGTTGATGAAGCCAAAAGTTGACTAGTGATTCTCATGCTGAACGCTAGCTAATTTTGGATTTACAGCATGCGGTATGCCAAGATTAGAAACAAATGGCTATAAAATTTGGGTGGGCGGGGTAATCTGATATGAGGGTCATAGTTTGATTTAGGACCACTTTGCACAGGGTGGTTTTCCTACATGGATAAAACTTCCAAATACAAGGCAAAAGAGATATGTGTGCATTTATCACAAGTGATGGTGTGCAGACATTTCCCTACATGGAAATGATGTCTACACAAGACAACCATAATATGAGAAAATACGTATTTATTTAGCTATTGGTTCGATTTCTGCTTGTGCAGGCCTCAGGGTGAGTAACAACATATGATAATATAATCATAAATTAATTAAAACAATTTAAACAATTTTAAAATAACCAGTTTTAGGTTACTAATCATAACTATAGATGGTGTCTAGATGCAATAATACATAAAACTTTACAGTTCATCAGGAGAAGGATTTAGTCATGCCAATACTGGGGAAGACCAGAAAGGAAGACTGTTGTTATTCTTCTCTGTCAAAGGCCTTGGCTACAGGCCTGCTAGAACAGCTCTGTTTTGCAGGCCCTGCAGAGCTGTGAAAAGTCCCAAGTCCCACAGGGCCTGAATTTTAGCTGGAAGAGCATTCCACCAGGCTGGGGCCAGGGTGGAGAAGGCTCTGGTTCTGGTCTGATGTTTCTTGGCCCAGGGACCACCAGTAATAGTATTGCAGACCCAAAAGCTAGTAAAGGGGCCGTGGCATTATGAGAAGGAATACCATGACAACAGTGTTTGGATGAAAGTAGGCCACAGCTTTATTGGATGCACAGCAAGAGCATTGGCGCAGCATGTGGATGGAGCCTGCACTGGGTGACCTGCCTGCCACCTGATGAACCAATCCATCCTCCAGCCCACCTGCCAAGGGGCAACCTGTGGAATGGCAAATATCAGGATACCACATAGGAATTAGCTGCTGCATGGTTCCATCACTACCTGGAGGTTAGAGCCAGCTGACAGCCCCCACCTGGCCATGTCACTTAATGCTTCACCCCCAAGACCCCTTAAGGGAGTCCCCAAACCCAGAGTAGGTGGGCATTCAGGCAACACCTCCCCTCAAAAGGATCCATCCCAGTGCCAAAACCACCCAAAACCACCAAAAGCTGTGACAATTACAAACAACAATAAATCCAAAAATGAAACTGAACACAATGAAAGGGAAAAGGGATGGGAGGGGGAAATCTGCAGCAGACTGAGGGATCAGTGCACACGGCGTTGCTTTAAATAAGGAAGAGGAGGGTGGAGCATGTCCCATGATGCCAGGTGGGAAATACTGCTGTACATTCAATACTTTCCAATACAGAAGACAACTTTTCCTATTTTAGTTGTCATCTTCGTTGGATCATACATGTTGTGATTTCTGATTTTGTGTTTATTTCAGATTCTCAAGAGGGAAATTATAAATCAGAAGTCAACAGTAAACCAAGGAAGGAAAGAACAGCTTTCACCAAAGAGCAAATCAGAGAGTTAGAAGCTGAATTTGCCCATCACAACTACCTCACCAGGCTGCGGAGATACGAGATAGCAGTAAACTTGGATCTTACTGAAAGACAGGTAAGGAAGGAAATTAATGGAGCTTTGTATGTAGACAATTACTTCAAGCCAGCTCTATTACATTTAAAAATGCACATGATAATGTGTGGAATAAAATAAAATTCTAATGTGACATTTATATTGTGTATACATACTGGATAATATCAATGTTATCTTTGAGAGAGATGCTCATAAAATCACTTAACACAGTATAATAGTCATGGAAAATTAATGAGTTAAGTGCTGTGTCTGACAGAGAAAAACAAATGCATTTTCAAGTTGTACATTTAATATTTTCCCTATACCATGTATTTTTAAAACAAAATGTTATAGGCATTTAAAGTATGAATATTTTTTACTCCTTTCTCCAGTCTCCTTTGATTCAATGAAAACTGTATTACCAATAGATAGCACCTACCAGACGCATGCCTATGTTCCTGTCTTCCTGTCTTCCAGTTTTTAGTGTTCAAATATTACTAAAACTATATCCTAGTTGTTGTAATGTGTAAATGAATTATAATCACTGGATTAATTATATGAATCTGTATTGTATTATGGTCTTACTTTTGTTTAGTACACTGATTCCTAATAACATTTTTTTCATTTGTAGAAATAATGCCATTTCCTAATTTTCTGAACTGCTTATCTATTGAGAGGTTCACAGAATATGGTTCAGGAAATCCTGCCTGTAAAGCATCGTCACACATTAGGTGAAAAAAGATCAAACATTGATATGAATATTTGAAAAAAATAAAGGTAGCATTAATTTAATTCTGCATACTCTGACACTGGACAGAGTGTGAATAAAAATTACATTATTAGATTGCTACATTGATTTCCTGAATATGAATAATCAAGTAAGTATTCCAAGAAATCTCAGTTTATCATTTTGTTGTTGTTCAGTCGCACAGTCGAGTCCGACTCTTCGCGACCCCATGAACCAGATCACGCCAGGCCTTCCTGTCTTCCGCCGTCCTCTGAAGTTGGCTCAATTTCATGTTCGTTCCATCTATGACACTGTCTAACCATCTCATCCTTTGCCGTCCCCATCTTCTTTGACCTTCAATCTTTCCCAGTATCAGGGTCTTCTCCAGTGAGTGCTCCCTTCTCATTTGGTGGCCAAAGTATTTGAGCTTCAGTTTCATTATCTGGCCTCCCAGGGAACAGTCAGGGTTGATTTCTTTTAGGATTGACTGATTTGATCTTCTTGCAGTCCAAGGGACTCTCAAAAGTCTTCTCCAGCACCATAGTTCCAAAGAATCTATTCTTCGGCGCTCGGCCTTCCTTATAGTCCAACTCTCGCAGCCATACATGACTTCTGGGAATACCATTGCTTTGACCATGCGGACTTTTGTTGGCAGGGTGATGTCTCTACTTTTTATCATGCTGTTTAGGTTTGCCATCGCTTTCCTCCCAAGGAGCAGGCGTCTTTTAATTTCATGGCTGCTGTCACAGTCTACGGTGATCTGGGATCCCAGGAACGTGAAGTCTGTCACTACTTCCACGACTTCCCCTTTTATTTGCCAAGGAGTGATGGGGCCGGATGCCATGATCTTAGTTTTTTTTATGTTGAGCTTCAAGCCCACTTTTGCGCTCTCCTCTTTTACCCTGAGCAAGAGGCTCTTTAGGTCCTCTTCACTTTCTGCCATTAGAGTGGTATCGTCTGCATATTTGAGATTG